TCCCAGGTATACCTTTCGATCTGGAAAACGCTCGATCAAGATGGCCTGTTCGAGTTCTTCGATCGTTGATTTTGTTGTATCGGATTCTTCGGGAGAAACGAAGGTCCGAGAAGTGAGGAAGTTTTCTTTATCATCTCCGTACGAATGCTCACGGACCACCTGGCCCTCGGGAGTCATCAAGTTCCCTGATTCATCCTGGACTGGGAGGGTTGCTGTTGGTGCTACATCGCTTACCGCGTACATCTCCTTTGTTGCACGTTGTTCTCCGTACACTATCTTTAAACCATCTTTAGTTGGGAACTTCATCATCTGATGAAGAGTCGATGGTACCGCCTCACGTTGTGTATCCACGGTCTTCCAAGCATGGCATTGTACCTTATGTCACCTTCGATGACCTCAAACTTGGTTTCTCGAACCGTACCGGACACGTTGACTGGTAGGATGATTTCTCCCTTCGTTGTCTCGCTTGCCATGTTGAATCCATTGAGGACTCGAGAGGTGGGTGTGATCAGTTTAGACAGTTCGAGCTGTTCCACTACCTCCGACCTGATTACGTTGGCCGAGCTACCTGGATCCACGAGCACACGTTTAATTTGAACGTTATTCAAAAGAAAAGAAATTACCAGCGCATCATTATGTGGTTGGGACAAAGCCTCGATGTCTTCCTCTATAAATACAAGGGTGCCTTCGGGTATATAGCACTGAGTTTGCCTTGCCGTTATGGCGGACACTTTGGACCGTTTGAACTTGGGTCCCTGTGGAACGTCGGTTCCTCCAACGATCATGTGAATATTTTGCCGAGGTTCTTTTGGACTAGTTTTTCCGTCCACCTCTTTTTCCCGAAAGTGGTTCTTGGCTCGATTGTTGAGAAATTCTCGGAGGTGCCCTTTGTCGATCAGCCGGGCCACCTCTTCTCGGAGTTGCCTACAATCCTCGGTCCTATGGCCGTGGATGCCGTGGAATTCGCATATCAAATTGGGGTTCCTTCGAGAAGGGTCTGACTGTGCGGGTTTTGGCCATCTGGTATCCCTGATTCTACCCATGGCCTATACGATGTCCGAGACATCGATGCTGAAGTTGTATTTCGATAATCGGGGTGCTTCCATTGGCCTCGAATGCCCGTCAAACCCGGTCTTGCCCATAAGTTCCCGGGAGTCTTGGCACTGATCCACTCTCCGCTCGTTTCGACGTAGGTTCCGCCTCGAAGTGTCTCTTCGATCTTTGAAGTATGGCTGATACCTCTCTTTGTCTGATTTCGACTCCCTTATTGTAGACTTCGATTCCTTTGCTAGGAGCCTGCTTAGATATACTAAGCCAGAGGGGGCTCCCAATTGATCGTCCTCGATCCTGATCTTTGATTGGTATCTATTATGTACATCTGCCCAGGTCGCGACGGGATATCCGATCAAATTTTGTTTTAGCTGCTTTAAAGCTACCGAGCTTCGTTCGTTCAAGCCCTGAGTGAAGGCCTGCACTGCCCAATCATCAGAGACCGGTGGTAATTCCATTCGCTCCATCTGAAAGCAGGATACAAATTCCCTTAGCATCTCGCTATCTCTTTGCTTGATTTTGAAGACATCGGACTTCCTGGTGGCGACCTTAATGGCACTGGCGTGTGCCCTCACAAAAGAGTCCGCCAACATGGCAAACGAATCTATCGAGTTTGGGGGTATGTTGTGGTACCACATCATGGCTCCCTTCGACAGCGGCTCTCCAAATTTCTTCAGCAGGACGGATTCAATCTCATCGTCCTTTAAGTCGTTCCCCTTTATAGCACAAGTATAAGTGGTGACGTGCTCATTGGGGTCTATGGTCCCGTTATACTTCGGGACATCGGGCATTCTGAATTTCTTCGGGATGGGCTTCGGAGCCGCACTTGATGGGAATGGTTTCTACACGAACTTCTTTGAATTTACACCCTTCAGAATCGGAGGTGCGCCTGGGATCTGATCGACCCTCGAGTTATAAGTCTCCACCTTTTTATCGTTATCCTCTATCTTCTTTTCTCCTGATTCAATCCTCTTGGTGAGGTCCTCGAGCATCTTCATAATAGCGGTGTCTATCGCTGACCCGTTGTTACTCGATCTCTCCGGTACCTGCTCGACCTGAGGAGCCGTTTCCGGTGCTACTGTGCTTGGAGTTTTTCCGTGACTTTGTAGCTGAGCAATAGCCACTTGTTGTGCTCGCAACATTTCGAAAATGATTTGAAGGCTAACTTCTCTTTCCTCCCCGCGCACGCTTCCGTTGGTATGAGAGCTCACATCGACATGCACAGCGTTGAGTTAGTTTACGTTGACGGCGATTTGTACTGGTGCCTCCCTTGGGTTTTGCGGTGGTATACCGGCATCTGCTGGTGCTTCCCCTGGGTTTTGCGGTGGTACACCGGCGTCTGCACCATTTTCTCCCTGAAGCCCAATGCCGTTGTTTTCGCGTGCATGTGCTGAGTTAGACATTTTGACCTGAAATTAGAGATTCTTGGACAAGAAAAAGTGTGAAGAATAACTTGTGTTTTGAGAAAACCAGCACCAAAACAATCACTATTATTTTTAGCCCCACGGTGGGGCGCCAAACTGTTTACCTTGAAAATGGTAACTACAATTTTATTTGATTTTGTGGTTCTAAGAATATGTGATTTATTTTAATACTAGTTGTTAAGCAATAGATGCTAGGTGTGAGTAAAGAGAATAAGATATGTAAACCAATGGGGTCAAAAAGCTGGGCCTCGAGCTGACTGAAGCAGGACCTCGAGGTCTAGACGGAGCTAATAACGGTGAACTATTGATAGAGAATCAATGGTGATAAGGGCCTTGAAGATGGCCTTTTATGATCAATAATGAGCAATAAATGAAGAACAAGAAATGAACAATGAATGAACAATGTAAGAATAAGCAATGAATGTGAAGAACAGTAGTTTTAGCAAAGAGAGCAGAGAATGTTGTATGTTATTCAATATCCAGGTCCCTTACAAAATGACAAAGGTCCCCCTTACATAGGAGAGGCGAATCCCAACATAGTACTTGTCTAATAAATAAAGAATAAATGCCACTAGTATAGCTATGCAACGGTTCAGTATGGATTTGTACCATTTTTGCAGACTCTGTCAGTCCTCATCACGTGCTCTCGGGAACCTCCTGCCTCTTTATGACGGTCATCGATTTTCATGCTGCCTCGGGGTATGTCACGATGAGTCTTCGATGTGCCCTACCAAGGCGAGTGCTTCGAGGACGAGCCTTGAACTGTGCTTTGATCCTACCGAGGCCGGGCTCGAAAACGCCATCGAAGCGTTAAAATCGGCTTTCCCTGATTTTAACCGTATACAAAATTTGATTGCCTTAAATATTTTTCAGATAACGTTTCGATAATAATAGTACTCGAGTTAATTTGCACGCAACTCAATTATTCAATTTCCCGTAAAGTTTAATAGTAGGAGAAATTTTTCATGCGCCGATAAAGTTTAAGAGTAGGAGAAAAATTGCATGTTTTTCCGATAATCACCCTTATTCGACAAAAAATTTCAAGAATGATGCATTTTTTAAATTAAAAGCTTTCGAATAACATATTTTACACTAAGTAGGCGTTTGAATAGTATTTGGTTGAAGATCAAAGAAGAGAATTTGAAGTGGAAATAGGAAAAAAAAATCTGGAAATTATCACGTTTAAACATGAATTTCACGTGGAAAAAAAAAACAACAACAAGAAATCACCACAGAAAGGTTGTCTGGGGAGGGTAGTGTGTATGCAGACCTTACCCCTACCCCGAAGGAGTAGAGAGGCTGTTTCCGAAAGACCCTCGGCTCGATAGACAAAAAAAAAGACAAAAAGACAAAAGGAGACAATATCAATATCACCACAGAAATTATAAGAAAAATAAGAACCGCATAAAATCTAGAAGAAAGATGCAAAGCAAAAGCGATAGCTAGTAAATAGGTCTGGTACTTGAAAAATAAGAGTTGAAACAAAATTTCTTTCAATATTTCACTCATATTTCTAATGTTGAAGGTATATGTAAATACCGAATTATTATTATTAAATGGATAAAGGGGGATCAAAAAAGTGACAAAAGTTCTGGGAATTTAAGTGGAATATGCATAATCCAAGTTTAACAATGGGACCATATTGGAGCCTTATACAAATTGGGAAAATGTAATGATTAAAAGATATCTAAGCATGGATTTGAGCGCAGAAAGTTATAAAAAAGCAAAATAATTAAGTAAAAGCAGCCATCATTACTAACTTGTGCTTGTACTTATTATAGGTCCCTAACTCTGTCAAGACCAACAAATATTTTTTTGCCTTTTTATATTTGACTCACTCACTCTGCTCTAACAACAGCACATTCTGGTTCATATTTCTGTTTTTATTTTTATTTTTTATATAACAATCGTTCTGGGATCAACTTATATGCACCTCGACTATATCATCGAGTACAGTTGATGGTTCAGCTTCACGTTCAGGAGGGCACACGGCCAAGGGGTGAAGCTACACGTGAATTGAAGGGGCTTCAATTTGTCCCCTTCGCCGAAAAATTATACTGCACAAATTTAGCAAAAATAATTTTCTTTTATTACGTATAAACCGTTGAATCTCATTTACATAATATGAAAGATTTCAAAATAATAGTAAATGGGGTTCAAAAGTAACTTTAAGTCACTGGTACAAACCCCAACTATAACATTCTCTATTATTTTGTATGAATTGAAGAGGAATTTTGGAGCAACAGTAAAGTTGGTTCGAGCCGTGAAAACAGCCACTAATGTTTGCATTAGGTTAGGCTGTCTACATCAGACCCCTTGGTGTGCGGTCATTCCCTGGACCCTGCGTGAACGCGGGATGCCTTGTGCACCTGACTGTCCTGTATTATTTGTTTGAATCACCTTGTAAAAATTTCTGGCTTCGCTACTACACGTTAAGCAGGCCTTATCAAACTTGATTAGGGCAATGTAAAAAGCAGACAATGGAATCAACTCTATTCATACAAATAACTCATCAAACTTGCTGACAAAGTTAAATACAAATAATGGAATTAACTTCATTTCATATCATACCTGTAAGGTACATTACAATGTCATGTTGCTCTAACTAATAGCAATCATATGACATGAATGCAGCTCCTCACAGCCTTCTTTTCTTGTACATAACCTAGTACTTGATATGTGATCTTGTAAGTTAAAAAAAAGGGCAGCCCGGTGCGCTAAGCTCCCGCTATGCGCGGGATCTGGGAAAGGGCCGGACCACAGGGGTCTATTCTATGCAGCCTTACAAATATCAAGAACTCAAGAGGACTTCACTGTGCACATGACCATCTTCCATTCGAATCCATGACTTTAAAGAAAATGGTTGCTGTGTTATCTCCAAAATCCTAGCTCCTCTTGGCCAGTTCCCATACCCTCCATAACCCGAGTGGCGAGCGTAGCACAACCACAGCTTTTTGTATGGGCAACACCAGTCCAATCCATGGTTATGACCTACAAACACAGCCTGCAACCATCCGGAAAATCACTAAAACTTCTAATTTTACTGACAGAAACAGAACTACTGCAACATTATTCTTGTTATTTTTTGACAGCAATAACTGGGAGTACTTTGCTGTAAACATCTTTCTTGCCAAAAATTTCATCTTAAACAGAGGCAATGAATAAGTAAAATATGTAGTGATAATAGGTGAATTGAACTATGATTAAGCCCCAAAAGAACCACTTTCTTGTAGAGTTTTTATTGTAAAAGTGATAGCAAAATGCTCTTATGAGTGCTTTTCATGTTTTTCAGGTTACATACATTAGAAGAAGGCTATGGAGTGGTTTTGTATCATTTATGGAAGAAAAAGAAGCCTATCGCATCAAAGTCGCCGAGTGAACCATTTGAAATACACAAACGAGGCCTGGAGGTGAACTGCCGCGGTCCCAGCGTGGGCGCGGTAGGACCGCGGTGAGCTGTCAGAGGAGATTCAGAGAGGCCGTTTGGCCGCGGTCCCAGCGTGGGCGCGGTAGGACCGCGGCAGGCGACGGGAACTTAAGGGACTGAAGTGCAAATTCCGGAATTCTTAGCCCAAAACCCTATTTAAAGACTAGAACTCGCCCAAAGGAGGCATGTAACATTATTAGAGAGTACTTTGGCAAGAAAAACAATTGTGAGAGATCACCTAAAACATCTTTATTTCTTTTCTTCTTTATTTTCTTGCAATTCATGATTATGAATCTTTCAGTATTTGATTTACCCATTGTCATGAGTAGCTAAAAACCTTAATCTAAGGTTTTGGTGAAACCCGTTGGGGATGAATTGGTTGTTATAAGTAATATAGATTTGAATTAGTTTAATCTCTATTTGTTCAACTATGTTTTGATTGTGGTTAATTGAAAGGATCCTCAATTAGCCGTTCCTATTTATTATGTATCTGCTTGAGAGAGAGTGCATATTTAGGTAGTTGTTTGAACAACATCACTCCCGGAGTATAGACGAGAGTCATAACCGAGGGTTTAGAGGTTGGATTAGAGATAACGATACCTCGGGTGCAATCTAAGTGAATTGTAATGTGAATCTAGCTAGCGTAGCTTGAGAGAGTGCGTCTAGTAAATTATCATAATTGCTTGAGAGAGATTTATGATAGCTGGAGAGTTCATGATTGATAGAGGCAACTAAGTCAACGCTATAAGAAACATACAACCAAGGAAATCAACAACGGTGGAAACCATTACCTTAGACCTTTATTTTAATTGTTTATAATTCAAGTATAGTTAGTTTTCAGCTGTTTATTTATTTTCAATCTTGTCTTCTTGGTGATATTAAACAGATACAGCTAAACCTTAGTTCTCTGTGGGATTCGACTCCGGACTTTTAGACCGAATTATATTTGAAGCGACCGCTTATCCTTTTTAGGACTAGAGTTGGGCATGATCATGTAGCTTTAATACAACATAATGAAAATGCCAACACAGGTGAACATTAGCGGTAACAAAATCCTTTTTGTTCCTTTGTTGATATCTTTTTTACAAGACTCACCGGGAGTAATTAGTGTTAACAATGGAATGCACTCATCTGTGATTTTAAGAAACTGCAATCTATGTAAAGAATCTCTTCCATGCACTATTCAGCAAGCTGAGAGCTTTTGAGTTTTACTCTACAACAACTACGCCTCAATCCCAAGCAAGTTCGGATCGTCTATATGAATCCTTACTGTCTCTATCGCTCCATTCAAACTCATCTCAATCAAATATTATAAAAACTGAAAATAAAAAAATGCGAGTAGTTCTCTATATTTACTACTGATATATAATCTCTGATATGACGAACTCTTAAAAGTAATCGTACTAATATGACTAAAGCTTAATCCCGTCTGTACACGTCTAATTTATCCAAGTTATATGCCCGGTGTTGATTATTCAGGATTACTCAGCACTGTTTTTTCAGCAGGTAAGTGTAGATGCCCAAAGTTGTTCACCAGGGAAAGAAGAGACAGAGTTCGGGTGCAAAGAATTAAAATGTAGAAGATGGAAAACTGAGGTCTGCAGTCCTTTACCTTCACAGAAGACCTTCCTTCAAGAAGCTCCATTATCCCCATTTCAGCTCCTTGAGCAGCGACTTCCTCAGTAAACAGCGATCCAATACAATTCCCGTGTGCGTCAGACCTTGGAGCAACCTCCTCATAAGCCTGGCTTGGTATATGCCAAAATATTATCTCAGGCACCCTGTTCAATATCCTTATATGTTTAATTTCACACAAAATGGGGAAAGTATCATATAAGACATTCTTTTAATTTATAGCATTGGAAGTATAAACAGAGAGCAAGTTGCTGCCCACTCCGCGTGCTTTCTACTGCCTTTGCTTCTACTTCTATAGATAACATCCAAAAGAGCGTAGAATTTATAAAATACTTAACATCATTTTTTTTTGCGTCAATAAAATGGATTGGATTATTACTGAACTCTAATTCAGTTCAATGTGCATGGTGTACACTTGTGGAGTGGAATATTCAAGCAGAAAATGTAGAGGTTAATACTCGAAATTTGATTACCTTGAGTTAGGATTGATCTCTTGAGATGTGCGATTGAACCATTCCGCTTGGGCACTTGATATAACCTCAGGGTATGAACCACCGCCAGAATCTAAGAAGTAAATGTATGCTATGAATGATTCAGGGTTATTTGCAGATGAAAGTTTAAGGACATAGTTGGAAACACTTGGCCACAAATCTTTAGGAGCGAATTTCGAGTAAGATAATTTGTTCATCTCCAGTTCATTCATCATCAGCTCCGAACGCGTTGTGCCCTTGAAGCTGCAATCACCTGACACAGAAACTTTCTTGGATTGAGCAATTTCTTTCAAAATCAAATCTTACCAGCAAGCCGAATTAGCAATTCTTTCAATCAAATCCACTTGGTCAATTCTTAAGGGGGAGAAGAAAACGTGACTGTATGGATTCAAGGTTATGCACAATAACATATGATGATCACTGGAATCTAAGACGACAGTTTAAGAAATAGTCGGAAACACTTGGCCACAGATCTTTAGGACCAAATTTTGAGTAGGAAAATGTGCTCATCTCCTGTTCATTCGATATCAGTTCCAAAAACTTAGTACCCCTGAAGCTCAAGCATTCGCCTAATAATAATCCTACCAGCTAGAAGCATTAGCATTTCTTTCGATCAAAATCCACTTGGTCCATCATTCTTTAGGGGAAGGAGCAAATGAGCACGTCAAGAATCAACTTCACACACTATATAACCTTGCACAAGACAACTGTTATTCAAGTTTTATCAATATATGAAAAAAAAACTCAGCTTATTTTACAAAGGTTTCAGTCTGCAAGACCACTTCTTCAACTAGTATCCGACATTTTTGTCTAAACCCTCTCATCCATAAGTTCTCTTTGTCTGGAACCTGCCTCTAGAAGAAAAAAAGACAGCCCAGTGCACTAAGCTCTCGCTATGCGCGGGGTCCGGGGTAGAGCCAGACCACAGGAGTCTATTGTACGCAGCCTTATCATGCATTTCTACAAGAGGCTATTTCCATGGCTTGAATCTATGACCTCCTGGTCATACGGCAGCGACTTTACCAGTTACGCCAAGGCTCCCTTCAAACCTGCCTCTAGAAGAGAAACATAATATTGTGAACTGACCCTTCGAGCAATAAAAAGGTCATTTCATAAACAAAGTAAGGATTTTATCCTCTTGCATCTCTATATACTTTTGCCAAGTCAGAGAAAACATAGGAGAAAAGTAACTTTTAAAAGATACATTCTATTTACAAAACAGCAATCAACTGAAATCTTAACAAAGGAAGCATTAACTATAAATCTCATTTTATGCAAAGTAAGCTCATTGTTGTACCTTCAGATTCAGGAGGGCGGGAAACGTTCACTCGACAATGAAGAGGAGGAATGCCAGTGGATGAAAACCACTCCATTGGCCACTCAAAGTACATATCATCATGGTTTCCAAACACACTAGCCCATGGAATTTCCCTATCTCTGGTTGGAGAGATAGCTTGATCCCAATATAAACTTGCATTTTTTATTGGTATATTGTTGGCTGTAACGATATCGCCAAGATAAACTACAAAGTCTGCCACAAAATTCTTGAATTAGAAAAGAGTTTAGAGAACATACTGATTAATGAAGAACATTTTAACTCCAAATTTAAGCTTATAACTAATAATTTTACATAACTTTCAATATAAAAAATCCAAAATTTAAGTATATCTCTCTCTCACACACACAAAAATATACTCTCTTCGTTCCATTTTGTATGACAATTTTTTTCCTTTTAGATTGTTCCAAAAAAAACAAACAAAAAACATTTCTATATTCTTATTTTGCCTTTAATGACTTCTTTACAACTACAACCCTTTGGGGAGGTCCTTTCCCGGACCCTACGTGAAAGCGAAATATCTTCTGCATCGGGCTGCAGGGGCGGAGGGAGAGTAAAAGCTATGAGTTCGGGCAAACCAGTAACTTTGGTCCAAATTATGTATTTGTCTTCAAAATTCATTGAATATTTAAAAATTATTGATTTAGAACTCAATAACTTAAAAGATTTAGAATGTCAAACCCATAAGTTTAAAATCCTGACTCCGCATTTGCCGGGCTGCCCTTTAAATTTCAAATGTCAGCTATGTTTCTTTCTTAAATTCCGTGCTCAATCAAACATATTTTCACGTAAACTAAACGGAACTGTATAACTGTCAACAACAACAAGAAGCCACCGGGGAGAATAGTGTGTACGCAAATCTTACTCCAACAGATTCTCGGCCCAAAAACGTTAAAATATGGCGCTAACTGTATTAAACACAAAACTTAAAACACATTGCGGATAGATATCACCTGGGTGTTCTTGATCAAGCACAGTAGACATAACTTTAATGGAGTTCACATCTTGACGTGGGCCCCAATCCGTCCACGCGTCCTCTCCAAAATGCAAGTCAGCAAAAAGAACAATCTTAAACGATGAAGAACCCGGCTGTACATGTAGAGTAGTATTATCTGAATCGACGGTCAGGATTAATCGGAGAATCAGAGAGATTAAGAAGACGATGGATATCATCGGAAGTGTGCAAGGAATTGATAATTAGCCGTTAGTTACAAGAGATATAATTATAGGTGGAATGATATTGTAAATACCTTTCACTAGTTTCGATTTAAATTATTACTTTATCTGTATCAAATTACGTGATACGCTTTCCTTTATTCACTCCCAAATTTTAATTCTATACTTAAAATTAACTAATTTAATTTTTTTCCATACACTAATGGAAATTTATAACTTTCTTTAAACTACCAATTTTAATTATTTTCTTAAATTCTATATTCAATTAAATTATGATCATAATTGCATTGAAGCACAGAAGAATATTATTTGAGTAGTTTCTTGTGCCGTTTTCTGTCTGCATTTGACACGTGCAGTCATGCATGAGCATTTTGCTCAACGACAAAGGAATATGCTAATTAGCCTTAAAAATGGCTGAAGTTGCATAAAATTTTAATTTACGGCCATGTTTTCAATATTAGCGTTCAAAGTGTCTATATTTGCAAATGCGTCAAAGAAATAGACATTTGTTTTTATTTTACAAAAGGGAAAAGGGAATTCAAGGACATCTCAAACTATCTAGTTTGTGATGAAGGCACCAGAAAGATTGATGTATAGCTTATTGTCAATTAAGGAACAAGATATATCAATTTATTTATTAATAAAAGCGGATACTTAACAATTGGCAAAGAAGCATACCAGGGCGTAGGAAACACATGAGTCATGACTTTGATCCGGAGGCGGATTAAGAATTTAAATCTTATGGATTCAACTTTTAAGATTTTTAGAGATTGTTTTGTGAGTCGGGAACCAAACTGTATAGAAAAAAAATATGGTGACTATTTTATATATAACGTCATTTTAAAGGACGATATACCTTAACGGTCGTGCGCTATACCCACATCAAAAGTCGTCCCCTTCCCCTTTCCCCACAAAACAGAAAACACCCCCCCGCCCCAATTCTATATATATATATGTGTGTGTGTGTGTGGGGAGGGGGGGGTGTGGTTAGCCAAGTGGCAAGCTAATATAAAGCTACTTGGCAATTTAGGACAATATTTGTTATAGTATTTAATTTAAATTGAAAGATAGGATATTTCTTTAATTTAAATAGAAAGATACTAAATAAGATTCTTTTGAATCTGAATGAAAAGAAAGTTAAATTTGAATTGATTGATTAATTAATTAGGAAAGCTAATCAACACATAAGTGTTTCAATTCAAACGAGAGGCTTACCGAGTGTGTCACGACCCAAATCTACTACGGGTCGTGATGGCGCCGGACACAGCTGTCAGGCTAGCCAACTATATTACCAATTAATTCCTCTTTTAATACTTTTGAAAATCTAAGGTTTTTCCTTCCGTTTTACATAAATAAAGATCATTTCTTGAATACAAACTTAAATAATAATAATTAGTACAAAGTTTGCTGAAACCATCCCAGAAACCCGGTGTCACAAGTGCATGAGCAACTACTGAATAGGATATAAATACAACACAACATCCGTCCGGAATACAATGGACGGAAAAGAAATACAGTTACTAGAAAGGGACTTTAAAGAGCTACGGGTCGCCTTGCATACTGCAACTCCCCTAGTCCCCGAATCGTCCGTGCTGCTGCGCCGATAGGCCGCTAATGTATCATGTACCTGTGCAACGAAAATGCACAGAAGTGTAGTATGAGTACGTAATCAACGTATACTCAGCAAGTATCCCGCCTAATCCCGGAGGGGTAGAGACGAGATGGTCAACTCTGACACTTTCTAATGATCCAATAATGGTTCCTCTAATATATATATATATATATATACTAACCAGTGGGTTTATTCTATCAACATGATTTTAGTCCAACTAGAAGGAAACAAATAATCAATTAATTATTTTATAAGAAATCTCCCAGAATTTCCTTTTTAAATATATTCTGAATATTTTTAAGCCATGAAAGGCAACAACAATTTAATTAAGTTCCAGGCAGCAGTACAAGCATGCGCAAATCATACCGAGGCGTCGGCCCGCTCCAACAGAAATAAATGTACACTTGCCGAGGGTCGACGGCGCGCCTATAGATGCATCTATTAATCTGTCGAGGCGTTCGGCCCGTTCCAAAATAAACACACACAGACAAACAGTCAGTCATGAAGTCCACATAGAGCAATTATCCAAGGAAGGCCAATTCTCTTTAATAGTTTGAGAAAACGAAGCTTAAGTCTTTTAGAAAATCCAATTATTAAATTAATGTGATTTAAGCAATTCAAGCCATCTATGATTTCACAATTTATCCACAATTAACATGCTTTGGGTCCTAAACTACCCGGACAATAGCATAATAGTAGCTACGCACGGACTCTCGTGACCTCGTGCGCACGTAGCCCCCACAACTAGGAGCACATAATCAATTTAACTCACCTATGGGGTAATTTCCCCCTCACAGAATTAGAAAGGAGACTCACCTCGCTCCGAAGACTCGCAATCGGCATTCTACATCCTTCCGAAGGCTTGAACCAACGCACAACGCACCAAAACTAGCCAATGATCACACAAATCCATTAATATATGCTCAACTATACTTTACAACTCAATTTATAAGAATTCCTAACCCCGAACGAAAAGTTGACCAAAATGCCCTCGGGCCCACATGCACGGAATCCGAAATTTTCGAAGATAAAGGTTACCCATGACCTTGGGAACTCTAATATGTAATTATCTCCTAATTCCTTACTCAAAATCGTGGCTATAATCCAAGATTATAATTTTCAGGTTTTCCAACTAAACCCCAATACTTTACACTAATTTCCATGCTTAATCTCATACATAATCAATGTATTTAGCTTATATAGTGGGAATACTACCTTANGGTGGGCATAACTTACCTTAACATTGATGACGAAATTTCTCTTTGAAGCTCTCCAAAAATCGCCCCCAAGCCATGAAAAATGGGAGAAATGAACTCAAAATTCGACTTAAAACAACCTCACTGCCCAGCTATTTTCGCTTCAGCGGAAATCTCTCCGCTTCCGCGGTCCCGCTTCTGCGGACCGCTTACCGCTTCTGCGGTTCCCATCGCTTCAGGCTTTCAGCTTCTGCGGTTCCGCATCAGCGGTCAAAGTGCCACTTCTGCGGTCCTGGCTGCCCTCGCCCTAGTCCGCTTCTGCAGCTTCTTCCCCGCTTCTGCGGCGCCGCTTCTGCGATCCCATTTCCGCAGAAGCGGTTCTACCAGATACCAGCTGCATATTTCTTCCAAAAATCCCATTTTTGATCTGTTAACCACCCATAATTCACCCGAGCCCCCCCCGCCCTCCCCCCTCCCCCCGGGACCCCAACCAATCATACCAACCAATCCCAAAAATCATTACGGACTTGCTCGAGGCTTCAAATCATATCAAACAACGCTAAATTCATGAATTACACCCTAATTCAAGCTTCATGAACTTTGAACTTTCCAACTTCTATTTCCGATGATTAAACCTATCAAATCACGTCCGATTGATCTCAAATTTTGCACGCAAGTCATATTTGACATTACGGACCTACTCCAACTTCCGGAATTGGATTCCAACCCCGATATCAAAAAGTCAACCTCCGGTCAAACTCTTCAAAAACTTTCAAATTTCTACCTTTAGCCAAATGGCTTCAAAATGATCTACGAACCTCCGAATTCACTTTCGATTGCGCCCCCAACTCCAGAATCACCATACGGAGCTATTCCCAGTCTCGGAATCCCAAACGGACATCGATAACACTGAAATGCACTTCAAGCCAAACTTATGAAATTTCTTCTAAAATGTCAACTTCCACAATAGGCGCCAAAACGCTCCCGGGTTATCCAAAAACCCGAACCGGGCGTATGCCCAAGTCCGAAATCATCATACGAACCTGTTGGAACCTTCAGATCCCGATTCCGAGGTCGTTTACTCAAAATTCCAATCCTAGTTCATTCTTTCAACTTTAAGCTTCCGAAATGAGAATTCTCTTCCCAAATCTACTCCGAACTTCCCGAAATCAAATTCCGACCACGCGTACAAGTCATAATACCCGAAATGAAGCTGTTCATGGCCTCCGACTGCTGAACGGAGCGCTAGTACTCAAAACGACTGGTCGGGTCGTTACATTCTTGTGAGCACGTGATTTTTGCCCTAAGCAGTAATTCCCAAAATTTCAAACAAAAACAATTTTTCTAGTATTTTTTTTTTTGTGAATTCTGTGGCATTCTTTGGTAATTGTTGCATTTTTTTATTTGTGCATTTTAATCCATATGAAAATACCAAAAATATGCATTGGCATTTAGGGATTTAATTTCACAGTTTTAGTATTAATTAGTTTTAGAATAAAATATAAAGAAAATTGCAAGAAAATAGTTCATTGCATTACTAATTATTGTATTTGTTTTTAAATAGAGTTACAAGTAACTTTAGGAGTTAAATAGTGTAATTAGGTCTTTGCTTTGTTTTAGCATTTTATAAAATCAGAAAAAAAAAAAATAAATGCAAAAAATACAAAAAAAAAATAATAATAAATACAAAATGAAAATAAATTGAATAAAGAGAAGGAGAAGGTGGTCTGATGCCCGAATTGGGCTAATTATTCTGGCCCAAAAGGAAAAATTCCCCAACCCACGTACCAAACCCCAGGCCCAATACCCCATCCGGTCCAGTTCCCCCTCCCTTTGCAAAACGACGCCGTTTGGCGTCAATCAATCCTATCCGTCCATTTCCATGATCCGACGGTCCAGGATCACCCAAGCCTTCTCAAATATAAGTGTAATAACACACGTTATAGATCAGAGACCAAACTGGTCTTCCTCGTACATCACCCCTACCACCACCGCCCCACCGTGTCGCCGCCGTCCTCCGCCATCCGCCGCCGGCCGAAAATCGTCGCCGGCGGCGGCGATGCTCCGATTAACCCCAAAATTACACCCCAGATTCCCCTTCTCCTTCTTTACCTGAACCCGCTGTCCTTTACTTTCAAATCTTACTGGAATTTGTCGAATATCCGTTCAAAATTTTCCGGCCAAGTCGCCGGTTATGCCAAACGGTCCCAAACTCACACCACAGAACCGCCTTAACTTCCCCTACCCAACCCCCATAGCCACTTGTCTCGAACATGGCCGGAATTGCTCAAATAT